ATTTATGATGTGGTGGGTCGGCTGGGGGGGGGGCTGAGGTTGATGTCCAGATGGTCTCTGCTGAGCTTTAGCAGCAAAAGCTCACATTTTCCTCCTAAACGTCTCCTCGTGTTGAAGACAAATACTTTGCATTTAGTCATTTGAATGTGTGGGTTTAAGGGATTACAGTTCCGATTTGTTTAGCGATCGGCACGGGGTGGACTAAGTAAGAACATTTTCAGTTGAGTTTTAATGTCTGTTAATGCGGTTGCTTTTAAGATGAAACCTGCTGGAAGCCTCTTGGTATAGATCGTGTTAAACTCTTAAAATTAAGAAAATTAAAAATCATGTCATAGGCCAACATTCAAATGGTTTAATGGCCGTTTGCATGACCAAATGTACAACGTAAAAAACGAAGCTTCTTGCGAGCAGATAAAATGATCATATTGACACTTGAAGGAACTTTGGTATTGACCGTGTTAAACTCTTAAAATTAAGAAAATTCAAAATCATGTCATAGACCAACATTCAAATGGTTTAATGACCGTTAGCATGACCAAATGTACAACGTAAACTCTTGAGCAAAAACCGAAGCTTCTTGCAAGCAGATAAAATGATCATATTGACACTTGAAGGAACGCGCTGATCAGTTTTTGTTTCTTTGAGGGCTTCAAATCAATCGTCTGTCTTCTTAATTGGACCACAACATGCACGAAAGCTGCTGACAGCTTTCAGAAAGTGTTTGTGTGTGTGTGTCATTCTTTCTCACACTCTGAACACGTCTTCCAATCCATTTGACTCCTTAATCTGGGAAACCGCCACTTTTCTTCCCCATCCCACTTCGGTTTTTCGCCTGGTTTGCTACTCTGTCCCTCTCCCTCGTCCCTCCTTCCGCCTTTTTCTTTTCACTCCTTGCACTTGCCCGTGTGTATGCGTTTGCGCTGCGCCGATAGACTGAATTTTCGAGTACACCTACAATTGCCCCATCACGCACTTCCTCATGGCAATCCTCTCGGGTGGAACAAACTGCTCAGGCGCATCATGTGAAACGATTCATAAATTTTCTTGTTTTGGGTTGATAACACATTGCTCATCTCTCCACCAACTTGGGGTTGATGTCAGTCGAAGGTGCTTTTCGATATTGATGAGAGAGAAAGTATAGCAGAAAAAGGACACTTTAATCTGTGGAATTCAGTTCTGTTTGTACTAAACTGTGTAGCACGTTCATTTTCTTTCTTTGTTTTTTTTTTTTTTTTTTAGCCTATCATGTTTGAGTTGTATCTTGCTACATGTTATTAAAAACCGCGCATTAGTTTGAGCGGGTTAAGTAGTGTTTGTGTTACTGGAAAATAGCTGTTTTTTTTTTCTTTTCATTAGACATCCACTCACTTAACTGGCATCTATCTCGCCCTTGGATTTTGCTATTCGACTTTTAATCATGCTCCCATGTCATTCTCTGGCTTTCTTTCTTTTCATTTTTATTTAGGGTTTTTTTTTTTTTTTTTTTTACCTCTGTGGGTACCCCCTGTGAATATTGCGGAGAGCAGGAGTAAAGAAAAAGAAACTTAATCCTTCCATTGAACAGCGGTTGAACCAGTCAGGGGCTTTTTTCTCATTTTGCTCTTTGTCAAAAAAAAAAAAAAAAAAAAACTGCTTCTCATTCTAAACGCTCACACTTGCCCCTCACCCACCCGCACACTGAGCATACACACACACACACACACACATATACACACGTGCACGCACACACACCCACACAAGATACCCGCTTTATTTCTATTACTTTAATTTTATTGATTGGTTGTGTCTACGGTTCACCTTCATACCGTGCCATGATAAGAGCACATAATTAGAAAGTGATACTGTATTTCGCTCATTGTTTTACGGATACTGTACCTTTAAGAGAGTAGTGACTAACGGGTAAAATACTCGTCCTCATTCTCCAGTAGAGTGTTACTAAAAATTGTGTTGGGCAGTGAATCACCTGGAACTGTATAAATATGCAAATGTAGTCAACTTTCACCTTGTTCTTTCGCTCTAGCCTGGGAAAACGAAATTGATCCAAAATATTGACACGTTTAGTGGAGGTGGAGATGAATTGGAGGTCTGCCCGTTTGAGTTGCAGTTTAATCTCAGTCATGTTATTGCACATTGAGGCAGGAGGTCAGAAAGAGAACTACGCAGGTTAGAAGCCTTGATCAAAGGAGGATGCTGCGATAGATTTATGTGATCCTTGTCTCGCTATCCCCTTCCTCATCTTTTCATCACTCGCTCGGTATTTCCTCTCCCTCAGGCTACGTTTAAGGGATTTATGCATTTCACTTTCTGGTTTCTGCCAGTAGCGGATTACATCAGAATGTCTGACAATTCTTTTGAGTCGAGCAGACCCCACAGCACTGCGACCTTCGATAATTGCCCCCCATTGTATGCATCGCGCGTTGACCTCCGCATTGCACGCAAAGGCTTGCGCACTTGGAGGCGAGTCTAATCGGACAGACTGAAATTCCGTCGCAAGAGCAATGATACAAACATGAGTGTTTTGGAGAAACTGGAAGAATGAGGACACACACAAATTTTCACCGCTTGAGTTAGTCCGACTAAAGGCAGTGAGACACACTGATGTATTAACCGTAAAGTGTCGCCTGAGGCACCACAGAGGCGTGCACGTAAGAGACGGAAAGACACATCTCCGTGAAAATAGTTTGCATCAGATGCTGAGAAACCCATTGGTATACGTGGAGAGTGTTGGTTTGTTTTTTTTTTGTTTTTTTTTTTTTGCTTAAGCAGCTGAAGATGAATTTAGTTGCTAAAGTTGAAAGTAGTACTGATCATGAATTAAGCAGTTAATTATTCTCAATGCTTGAACTCACTCCCTTGTGCAAAATACGAGCCATACATCTCTGCTCTGTCACCTTGCGTTGAAATCTTTTTTCAGATTCAGTCTTCAGAACCAGAATTACATTTATTGGCCAAGTATGCAAAAAAAAAAAAAAAACACGCATGAAGCAAAGTCTGTACAGTGGGGGGGGGGGGGGGATAGGTTTGCATCATTCAGAATTTATCGTAACTTGCTTATTGGGGGTTCGGGTTGAGGTTGCACTAAAGCATTGACTGATCTGTACGCAAAATGTCCTCAACAGTCAGCATGCAATGTCTTCAACTTTGTGGTTGCTGTCACACCCAGTCTCCCTGTAAAGTTCTGTATATTGCAATAACCATTAGTGAACCTTCTCAAGGATTGCAAAATGTGTGAATTATTGAATGAAGATGAGCGCAGTCATGCCCACATGGAGTTGTGTGCATGAGTCCAAAACTATGTCACGCCGATCACGCACCGCCGCACCCATTTGCTGGTGGAGCATGTGGAGATGTGGAACACGGCAATTGAGAACGATCAAAACATGCACACAAAGCCCGAGTGCACAATCAAACACGCACAAAAGACGTACACCATCACAGATGAATGGCTCTTTGCACGAGCGCACATGTACACTCTAAGCGTGTGCATTTGCTTTTGTTGTCAGTCAATGAATGTGCACTGCTTCTTATAAAATATAGTGCACACACACACGCATGCATGTAGAGCAGTGTTGCATCCGGGCAAGCATCATGTTTTGTTTTTGTTTTTCGTGGTTTCATTGTTCACTGTTGGTTTCACTGTTGTACGCACAAAACCTCACCGGCCCCCAAATGGCCAAAACCAAATTAAATATCACCAAAGGTGGACTTTATATAACAGATTTCCATTCATTACATACTCAATTTTTACATCTGCCCACATATGACATATTTTTACTCTTTCTCTTTTGTGTGTTGAAGGAAGATGTTTAATATGAATATGTGATTGCCAAATCAACTGAAATTCATCAGCAAGAATATATTCTTGAGCCTCTCACAAAGAGATCTGCCAAATTGCCTCATCAGAGCCGTAACAGTAACCCTGGTATTTGTGCTATGGTCCCTCTGTACTGCGCAGTGCGCACATGAGCAATTCTGCGCAGCCGTCATGCTCTCAGCGCATAGCAAATGTGTGCAGCGTAGATGAACGTGAGCTGTATTTGCATATTTGGGATTTAAAAAATTATCCTCATATATACAAATGTAAAAGTTTATTTGGCACATGTGGTTGACGAAGCGGGAAAGAAAAAAAGCGACAAAACAAGACTGAAATGCAGGGCACATGCTGCGTAATCACGGTCATATATGAACATTCAGCTCTCCGCTGACGTAAGTAGTCAAATGTTCTGCTTGCGATTGATATCTTTGTAAGCATTAATGGAGCAGATTCTTCTTTTTTTTTTTTTTTTTTTTTTTTTTAATAATCTGTTTTTTTTTTTTTTTTTTAATTTTTTGTCCCCCCCCCTCGCCAAAAAATTTTGATTTTTTTGTTAACAATTATGGGGGAATTTTTTTTTTTTTTTTTTTTTTTTTTTTTTTTTAATAATCTGATTTTTTTTTTTTTTTCAGAATTTGAGTCCGCCGCATCGGCCTTGAAAAATCCACATCAGTCGCAAGCTAATTGATGGAATGTCATCTGTGGTTGGCTGCTATGTTTGTCCAACACACTCTACTTGCTAACCCCCCCAAAAAGTCTGCCTTTGCTTCGTGAAAAAGATGTTTGCTAATAAGAGTCCTGCTCTACATTTTTCATGAGCTACCAAATGTCGTTAGAAAACGGAGACGTGTTGCGTTTCAGCCCTGTCCTTTTTTTTCCCATTTAGTTTGCAGAGCTCATGCAAAAGTACTCGTGCGTGGTTTATGACCATGCACGCTCCGCTTCCCGTACCTGCATTCGACATTTCAGCTTGTCAAGCGGATATTGTCAATGATTCAGTCGTGGCATCACACTATTTCACCCGAACTGACTCTGATTTATGCCGTCAGACAGACAGGTGCAAATGTCATCTCTAAACTGTCTCTCTCTGTCTGTGTGCATCCCAGCCCTTCCATCCCGTCGTAAACCTGGTATGCAGCCCTGATCTGAGGATGTTCCTGTGTGCCCTCTACGCCCCGGTCTGCGTCGTGTACGGACAGGTGTCCCTGCCGTGCCGCGCCCTCTGCCAGCGGGCCAAGGAAGACTGTCACAGACTGATGGAAATATTTGGACTCACCTGGCCAGATGGCATGGAGTGCAGCAGGTTATTAAGACAACAAATAACGTTTACAATGTCATCATAAAAGCAACGTCAACAATGATGGGGTCTGCCCGCCTGCAGGTTTCCAGACTGCGACGAGCCGTACCCTCGCCGAGAGGACCTGCGGAAAGGCTCCGAGCCCACCGACCGATCATCCCTGACCGTCCAGAGAGACTACGGCTTCTGGTGCCCCAGGGAGCTAAAAATAGAACCAGAGCTGGGTTACTCATTCATGGGCAGGAAAGACTGCTCTGCTCCCTGTCCTTCCATGTACTTCAGCCAACAGGAAGTGACCTTCACGCGATATTTCATCGGGGTCACCTCCATTGTCTGTCTGTCCGCAACGTTGTTTACCTTCCTTACCTTCCTCATTGACGTCACCAGGTGGGTAAGACTACTTTGGCTCTGGTACGTTCCTCTTAATGTGACATCTCTTATCAACTGTTGTTTTCCTCAATAGGTTCCGATACCCGGAGCGACCCATCATCTTCTATGCTGTGTGTTACGTCATGGTGTCGCTGGTGTTCTTCCTGGGCTTCTTGTTGGAGGACACTGTAGCGTGCAACACAGTCAACCACATGACGTTTAAAACCTCAACTATAACGCAGGGCTCACACAATAAGGTGAACACATTATTTCAAATTTTCAGAGAGCAATACCCGGAGCCTATATTGCCATGCAGAGTGGTTGCCGGGCCGACTTAATCAAGCTTTTTTTGTGCCAGTGGTGATGGAAGAAATTCATCTGTTCAGTATATGTTTACCCCACAATGACTTTGCTATATATATTTTTTTAAGTCTAATTTATTCCCGTTCCAAAATGGTCAATGTCTCCATTGTGAAACAAATAAAGGTTTTCTTATCTTAAAATGTACAATAGAAAATAAACTTGGGAAGAAGTAAGACTGGCGTGGGGGCTGCCATCTTAAGCGTTTGAGTAAATATGCAGTTAGCTCAGCCGCATCTTTGGCAGGGTTGACGTTTTTAAAACAGCTGTGAAAAGAGAAAAAATATATATCTATATAGCTAGATATCATCCCATACTCATTAAAAACACAAAAAATAAATAAAAGTACCATTTGTATAATTCTCTACAAGTGTCTACATTTTCAAATGATGACTTCCAACAGCATTCGTTGGGAATCGCATTTCTGTTGAGCTATTTTTAAAAAAACAGTTCCACGGTTGACTCATACTTCACATCAAAGATGTTTGGACTACTTCAGGTCCGATTGATTGATTGATCAACACATATTTTTTCTCTTCACCCATGTTGCAGGCGTGCACCTTGTTTTTCATGATCCTCTACTTCTTCACCATGGCTGGCAGCATGTGGTGGGTCATCCTAACAATCACGTGGTTCCTGGCAGCCGTGCCTAAATGGGGCAGCGAAGCCATCGAAAAGAAAGCCCTCCTCTTCCACGCCGTGGCCTGGGGGCTTCCGGGGGCCCTCACCGTCGCCCTTTTGGCCCTGAACAAAATCGAAGGCGATGGCATCAGCGGAGTGTGTTTCATTGGGCTCTATGACATAGACGCCCTGCGGTGGTTTGTTCTGGCCCCGCTCTGCCTCAACGTGGCGGTGAGTAGGCTCGGGGGATGAATGAATGTGTGGGAGGATGAACGAGCGAGCGAGTGTGATGGAAAGGAGATTAGTGGGCGGGTGGATGAAATGATAAGAGTGAGGACTGTTGCTGAAGCAACAATATGATAACACGGCAAATGGAGAGACGTCTGCTTCACTTTTGCCCCGTCGCTTCCGTTTATTTTGTCGACTGCTAGCACGTCGCAGGTTGTCATTTGTCTCTCTGGCTTCGCGCCGTTTCCCTTTCCAGGTAGGCGTTTCTCTTCTCTTAGTGGGCATCGTGGCTCTGAACCGCGTGCGCATGGAGATCCCCCTGGAGAAAGAGAACCAGACCAAACTTGTCAAGTTCATGATCCGAATGGGGGTTTTCTCCGTGCTCTACCTCGTGCCTTTGCTGACCGTGATCGGCTGCTACGTGTACGAGCACACCTACCGCAGCGTGTGGGAGACCACCTGGATGGAGGAAAACTGCCGCCGCTATCACATCCCTTGCCCATACAAAGTGAGTGTGCATTTGTGTGTATATGTGCGCGCGTTCTGCTGTATGAGCAGGTATTTGAGGAGTGGACAGTATGCATCATTAGTCCAGCTAACGCGCTCCAGACCAAACTCTACAACTGCACCAGTGTCTGTCTTGTTTTCTTTGACTCTTGTCTTTCAGTGTGTCCTCTGGTTCTCACACTTGTGCTTCTTCTTCCTCCTCCTCCTCATCATCATCGTCCTCCTCCTCTACTCCCACTCACACAGTCGCCGTCTTTGCTCTGGGCTTGCTCAGTCATGCTCTGCTTCCCCAACTCTAAAAGGTCTTTGTGTTGTTATGAAGAGTGGTGTTTTTTGACTCACTACCTTTTCAAAACTAAATCAATGTGCACGGTACAGACTTAAAGCATGCCCGCCAAACTTTTTTTTCTCATTTCCGCCCACTAGTTACCAGATATGAGCTTCACTAAGCCGCTAATCATTTTCATGAAGACAGCAAAGTGATGCGTCAGCCACTTGGTGGCAGACACGGTAATTGGAAAACTGTTGAGGCAGCTGCAAGTGCTAATGTTACGCCAATGTTTGCGTCTGTGTGTGTGTGTGTGCGCGTGTGCGTGAGTGTGAGAGCCCATACAGTCACGTTGTAGTGCTGGAATCTCAAAGTTGCTATCTGTCACTGGATATTCATCTCATAAGGTGTTGTCGATAGGTGCCTGTGTGTGGTTTGTTTGGTTTGGGATCGTTTCGTTCGGTTCCCTTCTTTTCGAATGGCAATGATTCACAAAAGTCAATTTTCTTTCCTGTTTTAACACATCATATAAACGGAAAATGTTTGCCTAAGACCATGCGTGGAAATTGAATGATAAAATATTTAATATGGGTTATTCAAATGGCGTGCAGGTTTAACGACCATTTCTGTGTCAAAGAGCTTTGTGTGAAAAGCTCAGTTGTGTCCTGGGAGCACTTTTTTTTTTTTTTTTAATGGAGAAAGTATATGTAAATAGTTCTAAATGTGCTGGGGTCAACAAGGCTGCGTGGTATGTTGCATCCATGTAACAAAATACAGTACACGTTTCTAAAGGCTAAAACATGGTAAAAATATCAGAGTAAGATATACACTTTATCATTTATATATTAGACAGAAAGATTCATTTGAGTGTATCAACGTCGACTGTGCTGAGGTCAGAAAAATTTGGTCAATGACTTGTTTGTACAGCGGCATAGGAATGCAGTGTGTTGTCACGCAGCATAAAAAGCACACTCACTTTCTGCCTTCCTTACTGCTTACAAGTGTTTTCATTTTAACTTGACTAGTACATTCATATAAGTTTGTGATGACAAGTTCCTTTGCATGAATGCCCAAGTCATAAAAACACAAATATATAAACTGTTGTACACTACCGCCCTCTGGTGTTTATCGCTGCGAATGCAAAGAGAGTGAAAGAAGCATTTCTCTTTATCATTCACAATAATTAATTGGACAAGGGAATGTCGATGCTTTTTTTTTTGGTTGTTTGTTTGTTTTTTTACTTCTGTCTAAACTGTCTACCTGGCCTCCGTTTGTGTGTGTGTGTGTGTGTGTGTGTTTTCCTCAGGTGGAGCAGACCAGTCAACCGTCCATGGCCTTGTTCCTGGTGAAATACTTGATGATGTTGGTGGTGGGAATCCCCTCTGCTTTCTGGGTGGCCAGCAAGAAGACCTGCTTTGAGTGGGCCAGCTTCCTGCACGGACGCAGGCGCAAAGAGTAAGCGTGGCTCCCTGCGCCTCCATTTTGAATGGCAGCATTATACAATCGAACCCGTCTTATTACGACCATTCAAAATGTCCCCATGCAGCAGCGGCGTGAATGAATCTCGTCAGGTGCTCCAAGAGCAGCCCGACTTGGCCCAGTCACTGCTGCGTGAACCCAACACCCCCATCATCAGGAAGTCCAGAGGAACGTCCACTCAGGTAAATAACGGCAGTGTTAATTTAAGATATCACGCAGTCGTGGCGGCCAACCTCCGATACTTAAGGGGGAATTAAAATCTGACATTGAGTAAGTACTCCTATGCAGTAGCTGGCGCTATACTGCGGCAAATCGTCGAATTGTCTGTCAGAAAGAAAGGGCTTTCTTCACAATTTTTTGTCATTGTGTTAAATTGCAATGTTATATATCAAAAGTACTAGAGGTACTTTTCTAGTAGTAGTCGGTAGTAGGTAGTAGTAGTACTCGATACTCTCGGGGGGAAGTGGTATTGAACATCCCGAACAAAGAGTCTATTAAAATCTTATCACAAGTGACTAAATAGAGGAAAATTGTACCAAAAAGTTTAATGTACTAGAACTGTACTTGGGCAATGATTCTTTCACGTACTACGAGACTGAACCAAAGTACCACACTTGGAGAATCACTGTGCTAAAGCAATACCATGAATGTATCTAGGGGAACATTATAAGCAAAACGAAAGTCACTTGTCGGTCATATGTCCCCATTAACTGTATCCGATTATTCCTCCGGTGGGTTATGATGAAGTATATGTTGAATCGTGGCAGTATTTTCACATTTTTGTCCTCCTTTAGGGTACTTCCACTCACGCCTCCTCCACTCACCTGGCTGTCCTGGATGACCTGGACGAGCCCATCGGAAGCCAGCCTGACCAGCCCGCCTCCACCAGGAGCAAACCCAGCAGCGTCCACAGCAAAGTCAGCTACCACGGCAGCCTGCGGCGAGCTCGCGATGACAGGTGTGCGCGCGGGAAAACGTCCTCCGCCGCGTCAGAAGCGGCCGATGTCGTCACCGCTCTCTTGTCCCCCCCACCCCGTCATATCAGGAGCGACGCGGTCATTTACAGAGGCGTGGAGCAGCGCAGTTTCCACGGCAGCACGCCGCGCCTCGACCACCCGCTGTCTACGCACGGCAGCCAGAGGGACGTGACCGAGGCCCCGCCACCTCTCATCACGCACGGATCCACGGCGAGCGAGGGCCGCGTCGCCGACAATGACGGCACCAGCGCCTAAAAAGGTAGTGTCACAAGTGTAAAGAAGAACATATTGAACGCGTGTTACACATCAAGACTGGACTTCATTTTAAGCAAACACACGCACACGCGTTCTTACTGTTAACAATCCTAAATAGGTTGTCCACTAACTTCTTAATTACATTAAAAATAAGAAAGTCTCATGCCAGACTGAACTTTATTGCTGGCAAACTTCATTTGTACAAGGACCTAATGTGAACATGTGGACCTCTTTTGTGCGTTACGTCAACTATTTTTATACTGTGAACTGTTTGTGCGTGCGTGTCTGGGTATGTGTGTGCGTGTGGATGTGAGACAAGATTTAAACTGTTGAGTTGTATAGAACAGGCTGGCTGGTTTTTGCACTGAGGCATCCGCTTTTCAAGCATTACAGGTGCATCTAAATTAGAGATGTCCCGATGACTTTTTTTTTCCATTAACTTGATTTTGAGTTTGCATCAGCTTGATTATGAGCATTTGCCAATACCGAGTCCCAATCCGATACCTCGGTAATGCGTTAGGGGGGGGGGGGGGATGAGCACGTCCAAATTGTCTTAATTGTCTGCGTTTTTCTGTTTGAATAAAAGTATATCAATTTCATAACTTTGTATATGGCCGTGCGTAAGCAGTGGTTCAAATCCAGCAAAATATATTTAAAAAAAAAAAACGTTTAAGATCTCATCTTTTTCTGTCAATACCGATTAGCTGAAAATCATGATCAGAGTGGGATGACCCTAATCTAAATAAATTAAGAGTATTGTGAAAATTTAATTTATTTCAGTTGTTCAGTTCAAACAGTCAACTATGTTATCGTTTTGCAATTTATCTAACGAGACATCTAACAAAAATCCAAAGAAATTTGAAAAGAATGTAGATAAGAAACAACCAACATTATCTGCGTTTTTCTGTTTGAATAAAAGTATATCAATTTCATAACTTTGTATATGGCCGTGCGTAAGCAGTGGTTCAAATCCAGCAAAATATATTTAAAAAAAAAAAACGTTTAAGATCTCATCTTTTTCTGTCAATACCGATTAGCTGAAAATCATGATCAGAGTGGGATGACCCTAATCTAAATAAATTAAGAGTATTGTGAAAATTTAATTTATTTCAGTTGTTCAGTTGAAACAGTCAACTATGTTATCGTTTTGCAATTTATCTAACGAGACATCTAACAAAAATCCAAAGAAATTTGAAAAGAATGTAGATAAGAAACAACCAACAATTATTAGTAAGAAGAAATTAGGTTTAACTGAGTTTCACTTTTGAAATCAATCAATGGAAAATATCTGAACTTGTCTTTGTTACTCTCATTTACTGAGATGCACCTTTTTATATAACTTTTTTTCTCCTTCAAACAGTGCAACAAGTTTACCACTTTCACGACTACACTTTATTATTTAAGTTGCACAAGTCTGTTTCTTTTGCTCCTCTCTGTCATCACATGATGTAAATATGAGTCTTTGTTAATGGGAACCTACCTCGCCTGTGTGATTAGCCGTTTGTGCTCCTATCAAAATCTTTTTTTTCCCCTTCACGTAACACACACTTCGAACTATCCTCCATCAGGAATAAATTTGCCTCCTGCCTCTCCCGCCTGTAAACACTTTCACTCGTCTTGTTTTTGACCTGCATTGGAGCATCTGTGTTTTTACCGATCTTAGAAATAAGATGTCTAAGCACAACATAACTGACATGAAGAGATGCGTTAAAAAAGGCAAAACAAAAAAAAAAAAACTCGCTCTTCTCTGAGCCCTAACTGATTGCATTTATCTGAGGCTGTGAGGTGCGGCAACATCCTTTTCCAGATGTCGTATAATGAAGGACGTGTGAAGGACGTGGCGTGTGCAAATGTGGTGGCATGAAATGTTCGTGTCACACTGGATCAGAAACTTACCGTGACATTGTAAATGAAAAGCCTCACTTATGTTTGTGTTTTAATTTATTTGCGGTTTGTAACTGCTTTAACTACTTTTACATGCTGTTTAATAAACTTTTTTATGGACTTTAATACTTTCATACCTGTACTTTGAATTACTGACATTTGTGTCCTCTTTTATTTATTGTCTGATATATGAGGTGTGAAAAATGGACTCTGCAGACTTCTATGAGGCAAGACACAATTTAATCTAGCTAATTGGTTAGGAAAAATAAAAATACCAGGGAGCTAACAGACCTAACTCAACAAAAAATGTGTCCCCGAGTGTTGTTGATTAAATATAGTTAGATTTTTTTAAGTACAAATACGAATACTCTTAGTTCAACAATGCAGGTTCACAGATAAAATCAATAATTTCCCACCAAAGCTTCAACAGATATTTCCGCGAGTCAAGACCCAGTTCCCGATCGTTCCCGCTTGCGTCGGACGATGGTGGCGATGTCGTGTTTGAGGGCGGACACGCTTTGTTCCAGCTGCTCCGAGAAGTCCTTCAGCAGGCCGCTGTGCTCTTCCACGAAGAGACGCAGTCCCAGGAGGTCACATGACTCCTGCCAAACACACAGAGGAAAACAGGCAGCGGCGCTAAGTGACCGAATGGAAGGCTGCCCGTACGTACGCTGGGCCTGCGTCTGCGCAGACTCTGCAGCTGAGCCCGGACTGACGTCATGTTGTGGTAGAACTGCTTCAGCGAGCGGGCGAACTCTGCGTCGCAACTCGGCCGAAACGAGTGACTCCGCCCGCTGTCGCCACCTACAGGCAAGATGCGACATTGCGGAGTGAGACCGATTAAGGTTTTTGTGATTGTGTTACCGTTGGTGGCTGCGTTGAGTTGTCCTCTTAAACGTTGATTCTCCTTCACCAGGTGGCTGTTGACTCTTTTCTGTTCTTCAAGATCCCTCTGAAGTCTGCTCCGTGCACTGTTCGGCTTTACGCCATCTGCAGGCTGCGTGTTACACGTGTAGTCAAGGCATCCATTCATTTTCTGTAGCAGTTCGCCCTCAATCGGGTCATAGGCAATGATTGAATTCGTTTTCTAGTAACAATTGAACTAACGCGTTACTTTTCCCACAAGTCATCTGACTAACGTTACTCTTCAAACTTGCACTTGACTATGATGTTTATGCATTTACTTTAATAGCCTGAAGAGTTTGAACTTTAGCTGGGAAACAGAGTTAGCGCATCACTCACGCGCACGTTGGGGATGCAACAAAACGTAACAATTCATAAAATACAGGACACCCAATTTCCAACACGAAAGGCACTCTACAAACAGCTGCACATTCCCCGTCACCTGTAAAATGCCAGTCATGTAATTCCTAAAAAGCATTCAAATGAAAGCTTCCTACTAACCAATACAGTACGTGTAAACTCTTTCAATGGGAGACAAATGAAAAATTAAACTCACATTATCAGCCATGCCACTCTCATCGATGATGAAAATGCCGTCCGTGCTCACTGTAGCGCCCTCCGCAGGTGACGTCAAGCAAGTGCAGCCCTCTGTCAGAAACGCAACATGATTAACTTCCTCCCAAAAATCTGCTTCTGTGTCCAAAACAAATCATGTATTTAAATAACTTTTTTCCCCATTTTTTAATTTCCTGAGTGACTCAGCCACCGCCTCACGCTCACACCTTGAAGCCCCCAAAGCTCCAAAAGCATAGCACTGCTCTGAAGGTGCTTGAGTAGCTGCTGCGAGACGTGAAAAGAGGCAAAGTGCACTTTGTGATGCAGCACGGGGTTGATAAGGTGCCATACAGCCGGCGTGTAGAGACGACCGACGCTGTCCAAAGGACTGAACCTAATACATGTAAACACACGCACACAAAAAAATCCTTAATGTCTAGCTGGCTATGTCCATTTGACAGTCTACCATCCAACTACACTATCATCTCTCCATCTGTGTGTGCCAACAACATGATCATCTACATCCATGAGGCCGACCCAATCTGAATGCCTCGACTGCGAGCGTCTCTTATCCAGCGCAGACCGAAACACTGCTCCACAACCAGCTGGACGTCAAGACGGCGACCGAGCAGCTCGGATGGGTCGATGAGGATGTCGTCTTCGCCCAGGGGCCTGAAAAGGGTGAAAGGCAAATTGAAGGGGGTGAGTTGTTTTGCGGGATTGGCAGTTGGTACCTCAGTTGTTGAGCTGACTGCCACCAAACGGTCATTTCATTTCATTCCAGTTTTGTATTATTTCATGCTTGTTAACTTCCCTTTACAAGTGATGACAAAGAATGTCAAAATTAGGGATGGGCGAGTAAGTGTTCGCTAAACAAATGGATTGTGTTAGAATCTGGAGTTTCCACTGTAGTGTGTGTGTGTGTGTGTGTGTGTGTGTGTGTGTGTGTGTGTGTGTGTGTGTGTGTGTGTTTACAATCCATCGGAGGTGCAAGGAATCAGCTTTGCTTGCAGAATGGCCTCCTCACTACCTTCAGAGCCGAGCACCTTATACATACACATTTTGATTAGAGTCATCAGTGCCATGATGATCCATATAGCTGCTGATATGTGTGTGCGCGTGTGTTTGTGTGTGTGTGAGTGTAGTACCTCCAGTTGCTCGTCCACAGGAATACGGAAGGCCAGAGATTGCAGCCAAAGGTGAGCGGTGCCCAGGAGCAGCGGTTCGACCGGATCCCAAAAAGGGTCTTTGTCTCTGGGCAGGGCAGCAATGGAGAGGCCCTCTCCTGGCTGACAGTACTTCATTAGGCTCAAGCCATACTTGCTCCAAAAATGCGTTTTCATCTTATCTTATTAAGTATTTAAATTACTTGTTCGCCTTTCATCTCATCCAGATGTTGCTGGTAGATTTCTTCCATCAGGAATTTGCGGTTCACAAATTTTGCCTTCGACCACATCCATACCTAACAGTTGAAGGATTAAAGAAACGTATTTCAAATATTCTAAGAATACCGGTAATAAATACATTTCATTTGCCTAATTGTACAGCTGCGCATAAATTGAATCCAGGCAACTCGGCTCTTGTTGGTGCGTTTATTCTTGTTTTCCAAAAATCATTTAAAATGACGTGTCTGTATTTATGCATGTCTGGGTAAGAATTCCATGTGAGAAAATTGCAAAACCTGTTGGGTGTGCTTTGAGGTGACTCTGCAAACGATCTCTTTCTCCAGGTCGTGTCCTTTTGAGTCAGACAGCACCAGATTCTTAATCTCCAGTTTGAACTCCACACCCTGCAGGCCAGACATATACTGACTTCGTAAGTAAGAAAATGTGAAACTTCTTCTGAACTATAGATTAATTCATTTAAGAATATGCCTGTCTTCATGTGTATGTTCAAATAGCCGTGGCTTAAAGCCTTATAAATTACCGCAAAAATCATCGCGAATACCCTTTGGCCACTCAGTGGCATTTTATTAGCATTAAGCTAGCCATCTTTCGGAAAGTAATGTGGTTTGGTTCTACCATCCAACTACACTATCATCTCTCCATCTGTGTGTGCCAACAACATGATCATCTACATCCATGAGGCCGACCCAATCTGAATGCCTTGAC